AGGGAATGAGGGAATGAGGGGATGAGGATGAGGGATGGGGGATGAGGAATGAGGGACAAGGGAATGAGGAAATGAGGGAATGAGGAATGAGGGATGAGGGAATGAGGGATAAAGGGATGAGGGAATGGGGGGTGAGGGAATTCCCGGCTCCCACGAGGTGTTCCTGGGGTCATCCCCTTCCCCCGCGGGGCCCTTCCCGGCGCACATTCCCGCCGGTACCTGCGGCAGGGAGCCGGGAAACGCCACCTCCCGCAGCTGGAATTTGGGCACGCACTGGAAGGTGACGCTCAGCACCACCCCCAGGCTGCCCAGGTGCAGCCGCGCCGCCGGGAAAAGCTCCGAGTTCCGGGATTCCGAACATTCCAGGATGTCCCCCGAGGCCGTCAGGAGCGTCACGGCCACCACCTGCACGGGGGGGGGGGGGACACATCACCGGGGTCGGGGGGAACAGCCCGGGATTCCTCGGGAATGCAGCGTTCCCTGCTGTTCCCGGGGATCCCAGGGCTCCTTCCCTGCCTGGAGACACCTTCTCCCAGGTTCCCACATTCCTTGGGATGCAGCATTCCCTGCCTTTTCCTTGTGATCCCAAGGCTCATTCCCTGCCTGGAGACACCTTTCCCCGAGCTCTTCCCACATTCCTTGGGATGCAGCATTCCCTACCTTTCCCCTGTGATCCCAAGGCTCATTCCCTGCCTGCAGCCACCTTTTCCCAAGTTCCCAAATTCCCTGGGATGCCTTTTCCCTCTTCCCAACCTTTTCCCTCTTCCCTTTGACTCCAAGGCTCATTCCCTGCCTGGAGCCCCCTTTCCCAAGCCATTCCCACATTCCTTGGGATGCGTTTTCTCTCTTCCCTGCCTTTTTCCCTTTTCCCTCTTCCCTGTGATCCCAGGGCTCCTTCCCTGCCTAGACCCACCTTTTCCCAAGCTTTTCCCACATTCCTTGGGATGCAGCATCTCCCTCCCTTTTCCCAAGGCTCATTCCCTGCCTGGAAACACCTTGTCCCAAACTCCCACATTCCTTGGGATGCAGCATCTCCCTGCCTCTTCCCTGGGATCCCAAGGCTCATTCCCTGCCTGCAGCCGCCTATTCCCAACCTTTTCCCAGCCCTCCTCCCGGGATTCCTTGGGATGCAGCATCTCCCTCCCTTTTCCCAGGGCTCATTCCCTGCCTGGATCCACCTTTTCCCAACCTTTTCCCGCATCCCCTGGGACTCCTTTTCCCCCGCCGTGGCCGCCATTCCCGAGGCTGCCATCCCCCTGGAATGCTGGGAATGCCGGGAATGCTCTCACCATGGTGGGGAGGATGCCGTGGGCGATGCCGGTGTTGTGGGTGCCGGTGCCGATCACTCCGCCCGCCGTCACCTCCGACACCGCCCCTAAACTGGGAATATCCCGGGATCAGGCCCTTCCCCACGGGAATTCCCACGGAGGAGGCGGCTCCCACTGCTCCAGGAATGGAGGAGGTGCCACCAATCCATAGGGATGGGATCCAGGGAATGGGATGGGATCCAGGGAATGGGATGGGATCCAGGGAATGGGATGGGATGGGATCCAGGGAATGGGATGGGATGGGATCCAGGGAATGGGATGGGATCCAGGGAAAAGGGTCCCTCCATCCATAGGGGATGGGATCCAGGGAATGGGATGGGATGGGATCCAGGGAAAAGGGTCCCTCCATCCATAGGGGATCCAGGGAAGGGGATGGGATCCAGGGAATGGGATGGGATCCAGGGAGAAGGGTCCCTCCATCCATGGGTGAGGTGGGAATGTGGGGGTTCAGACAAAACAGGGAATGGCTCCTCCTCCAGGGAATTGGGAGCTGTTTGGCTTGGGAAAATCCCTCTGGAATTCCAGAGTCCAACCAGCCCAGGCCAGCCCTGCCCCTGTCCCCAAGGGCCACATCCCCAGGGATTGGGAATCCCTGCAGGGATGGCGAGGGATTCCCCCCTCCCTGAGGATCCCAGGGAAAGTCCCAGGGCTGGCATTCCCAAGGATCCCAGGGCTGGCATTCCCGAGGATCCCAGGGCTGGCTATCCACAGGATCCCAGGGATGGACATAGGGAAAATCCCAAGGGATGGACACCCAGAGGATCCCAGGGCTGGCTATCCAGGGGATCCCATGGAAAATCCCTGGAATGTCTATCCTGAGGATCCTGGGGTTGGCTATCCAGAGGGTCCCAGGGAAAATCCCTGGAATGTCTATCCCAAGGGTCCCAGGGCTGGCTATCCCCAGGATCCCATGGAAAATCCCCGGAATGGTTATCCCGAGTTTCCCAGGGGAAATCCCTGGAATGGTTATCCCGAGGATCCCAGGGACAATTCCAGGGCCGGCATTCCCGAGGATCCCATGGACAATCCCAGGTCTGGCATTCCCAAGGGTCCCAGGGCTGGACACGGGGAAAACCCCATGGAAAATCCCTGGAATGGTTATCCCGAGGATCCCACGGACAATCCCAGGGCCGGCATTCCCGACGTTCCCATTCCATGCCCTCACTTGGGCAGGGCCATGCCGAGCTCGTCCAGCGCCGCGTTGAGGCGGGACAGGAGGATCCCGCCCTCCACCGTCACCTGCAGCTTCTCCCGGTCCGCCTGGGAAAGCAGGGAATTCACAGCCCATGGAAAAACACCCCTGGGAAACCCCCGGGCTCTTCCCAACCTCCCCCCCTCCCCGGGAATTCCCGCTCCTCCAGGAAATCCCGGAATGGGACCTGGGACGATCCTAATCCCGATCCCGACATCCCTGTCCCCAATCCTGATATCCCTGTCCCCAATCCCGACATCCCTGTCCCCAATCCCAGGCTCTGGAACCTCTTCCCGGGAATTCTGCCGGCCCCAGGAGTCGGATATTCCCTGGAAAAATGGGGCTCCACTTCCCAGTTCCCAGGGGAAGCAGAGCCTGATCCCAGGGAATTCCCAGGGGGGAAGGAGCCCTTCCTTAATTAATCAGTGCTGTTAATTAGCAGGAACGACCCAGAACCTCCTGCTGGAGCCGGGGAACATTCCAGAACCCGTTCCCCCTTGGAGGATCCTGTTCATCCCAGCAGGAAAGGGACCCTTCCTTAATTAATCAGTGCTGTTAATTAGCAGGAACGGACCAGAACCTCTGGGATTTTCCCCTTAGGAGCCCATGGAATGTCCCAGAATCCACCCCGACCTGGAGGACCCCGTTCATCCCATCAGGGGATGGAATTAATTGCCCTTGATTAGTTAATTAATTAATTCCTGTCATTAGTTAATTGTCCTTAATTAACCAGGGCTGCAATTCCCGGGAAGATTCCCAAATCCCTTCTCACCTGGAGCTCCCTGCTCATCCCACGGGGATTGAATTCATTGCCCCTAATTCATTAATTATTGCCCTTAATTACTCATTAATCATTCCCACCTGGAACACCCTGTTCATCCCAGCAGGGATCCAGTTCATTGCCCTTAATTAGTTCTCTTAATTAATTAATTAATTGCCCTTAATTAACCAGTGCTGTAATTCCCAGGAGAGCCCCAGAACCTCCAGCAGGAGCCGGGGAACATTCCAGAACCCATTCCCGCCTGGATCACCCTGTTCATCCCAGTAGGGATCCAATTCATTCCCCTTAATTAATTAATTAGTTAATTCCCTTAATTAATTTACTGTCCCTAATTAACCAGTGCTGTAATTCCCGGGAGAGCCCCAGAACCTCCAGCAGGAGCCAGGGAACATTCCAGAACCCATTCCCACCTGGAGCACCCTGTTCATCCCAGCAGGGATCCAATTCATTCCCCTTAATTAATTAATTAATTAAGTTATTCCATTAATTAACTGTCCTTAATTAACCAGTGCTGGAATTCCCGGGAGAGCCCAAGAACCTCCAGCAGGAGCCGGGGAACATTCCGGAACCCATTCCCACCTGGAGCACCCTGTTCATCCCAGCAGGGATCCAATTCATGGCCCCTAATTAACTGTCCTTAATTAACTGCCCTTAATTACTCATTAATCATTCCCGACCCCTTCTCACCTGGAGCAGCCTGTTCATCCCACTGGGGATCGAATTCCTTGCCCCCAGTTAATTAATTAATTAATTACTGATCCCTAGTGACTGATTAATCCCCCATGACCTGGAGCATTCTGTTCATCCTATCGGGGATCGAATTCATTGCCCTCTAATTAATTAATTAATTATTGTCCTTAATTAACCAGTGCTGGAATTCCTGGGAGAGCCCAAGAACCTCCAGCAGGAGCCGGGGAACATTCCAGAACCCATTCCCGCCTGGATTACCCTGCTCATCCCAGTAGGGATCCAATTCATTGCCCTTAATTAATTAGTTAATTAATTAATTCCCTTAATTAATTAACTGTCCTTAATTAACCAGTGCTGTAATTCCCGGGAGTGCCCCAGAACCCCCTGCAGGAGCCGGGGAACATTCCAGAACCCATTCCCGCCTGGATCACCCTGTTCATCCCAGCAGGGATCCAATTAATTGTCCTTAATTAATTAATTAATTAATTCCCTTAATTAATTAACTGCCCCTAATTAACCAGTGCTGGAATTCCCGGGGGTGCTCCAGAACCCCCTGCAGGAGCCGGGGAACATTCCAGAACCCATTCCCGCCTGGATCACCCTGCTCCTCCCACCGGGGACGGAATTCCTTGCCCCCAGTCGATCAATCAATTAATTAATTAATTACTGGCCCCTGATGGGCGATGAATCCATCCCCACCTGCAGGACGCTGTCCATGTGGCCCAGGTGCAGGAGGAACCCGTCGGTGCAGGCGATGTCGGAGGGGGAGTGGCCGCCCCCGACCACCTTCACCCGCCGGCCCCTCTGCCGCGCCAGATCCAGGATCTGCGGGAAGAACACACGGAATTCCCGCTCATCCGGCCCCGTTCCCGCCCTGCCAGCCCCACAGCCTGAACAACGCCCGAAATTCCCGCTCATCCGGCCCCACGGCCCCGAAATTCCCACCCATCCAACCCCATTCCCACCCATCCAACCCCATTCCCACCCATCCGGCCCCAGAATTCCCACCTATCCAGCCCCATTCCCACCCATCTGGCCCCAGAATTCCCACTCATCCGGCCCCG